TTGTTTCAGAGGCCATATGTTTGGCCATCAGTAGGACTAAGTAGCAGTCTTTCCCTTAGTACAATGCAGAGCTAACTAAATGCATCTGTCCATCAGAAAATCCATTCACTGCTCCTAGAGAATGTTGGCCTTTCTCCAAGTAAGTATTTTTCTGCTATGTGTACTCTTTGTAAATTGTTCCTGTGTTTTTATGTTAGCAGCAGTCCCCTTTACTGAGGAGCTATCATATTCAGTGCCTTGTTATATCAAAAACCATATATCAAACCTATTAATGAAATGTTCAGTCCTAATGCCTAGGTTTTGAAGGTGTGTTTTTCCAGATCACTAGAAAGTATAAGCTATGAGACCATTTAGGACTGCTATAAACTGGTGACATCAGTAAAATTGCTTTTCCTCTGGATGCACCCCAGAAATGTCAAGCTCCTGGCATACAAGAGTTAGGAGAAATTCCTACACGTCTTATTAAATCATTTGTTTGAAAATCCTTATCCAAGAGAGAGATCCTCATTATTAAATTGCTGTGCTTTATTTCCCATGTTTTTTGATATGGTTGGAATACTATAATGAGCTTGTGGGAACTGTTTGATTTGCTCTGTGCCATCCCAGGGGAGACATGTACAGAATCTCCCTGCAAGCAATTACCAAAGCTGACAAAAGTATATGATTCTGTTTAGCATGGGATCTATATCCTGGAGCTTCTGTATTTATAAGTAGTGCCCTCATGTTCACTATGAATAGGAGATTATTATGGAACTGATCCTGCAACAAGAAATGCAGAATCACAAACTATATGAAAAGGACCTTTCCAAGTGTCTTTATTCTAAATAGATTTGAAAAAAAAAAACCTCTATGTGGCTGTCCAACATGAGCTTTCAGCCTGGAATCTCTGCACTTCTTTCATGGCTGTGAGGCCTGTGGTTTAAAAACAAGTTGTTCCCAGAAAAAAGGATTTCATCATTCAGCTGTAATGTAAAGGCCCAGTGTGGTTTTACAGATCTTTAAATTAGCCTGTCAGCCAATTTCTAATTAGCTAGTGAGCCTTCAAGAGAACCAGAAGTATTGAAAAAGATGGGATGTAAAGTTGCTACATTGACAATGTTTAGTGACACCTCTTTGTGCTGCTGACAGTTCCTTTTTTCCAAATGCAGTGTCAAACTAGTGGTCAGTCGGTTCTGAAATAAACAATAACACTTCACGAATGTTAAGAACATTAACACGAGTGCCCCAGCTAAAATTCAGTTAGGGCAGTGACATCAGGGTTGGTCACGGTGCTTGTTCCTATTAATTAGTGGGAGATTTGATATTTATTTTACAGTTAGCAAAGGCTAAATCTGTCATTTTTTCCCCTCAGAGAAAATGCCAGGTTTCTAATCAAGCAAATTACAGGGATGACATTAAATTCTTTAACTGCTTTGGCCCTCTGAACACATGAAATTTCACCTCTTCTACAAGCAGGATCTATTTTTAAACTGGTGTAAATACAATTTGTTGTAAGCGAGTTATAAACAAATTTGAATATACCCACTTGGGGATTTTTTCAGATTGAAATAAATGAGTCAAGTTCTGCTTCTGTTGTTGAATAATAACATCTTTTGTGATGGAGACCTGTTCTTGTATCTGTGGTTAATATCATCCAGTCAGCACTTTGTGAGGCAATAAAAACGTTTCTGTTCCTTTCTGGGGAAAGAACCAAAGAGTTTGATTTTTTTAATTTTAAATTTTGTCAGAATTTCCCTTTTTAAAATTTCCCGAGATGTAAAGAGCGAATATGTAGCATATTTAAAATACAAAATAGGTCAGTAAAACAATTTAAGTTAGTATGGACCACCTAATGAAAGGGCACTTTTAATCTAGGTTTTCTTCCGATGTGGTAAGGGGTGGAGCTTCAGTTGTTCAGCGTTTTATGCTTTTTCCTCTCATTTAGTCAAAAATCTAGTATGACAAGGATCTTTGTTAGTACTCTTTGTTAGTTCTCTAAATTGGCATATAAAGACAAGTAATTGTAGTATTTATCTGGTCTGGAATGTGTTTGGGGTGACCCTGTCAGAGCAGTACCATGTTCTTGCCATGCAGTTCAGCTTTAGCCCTGCATTGCCCTCTTTCCGATTCCCAGCACCGCATCTGCTAAGGTGTGCAAGCACACCGCAAAAGATCCAAAAACCATAGGTGGCTGCTAGAAAAAGCTTTTCTGCTGTGTTTAGCTCCTGAGTATATGACCTGTCTGGGTTCTGAGGTTTGGTCTTAAGTCTGGGGTTTTGTTTTTTATAATTCAAACACTCAGTAGTTCACATACAGGAAATGGGAAATGTGATTATATGCTGGAGGGCATAATTCATTCTGGATGTGAAGGCAACTAAAATTTTTTATTATTTAAGTTCTCAACAGAATGCTGAAAAATGAAATTGTTTTTGTAATTTGAAGATGTTCAGGCTTTATACTATATTTAAGATGAGAGCTAGCCTCTTGATGGTTTTGTGGAAAGTTGGAAGGAGACTGTTTGCATCCAGTGATACATCACTTTGCTTTTCTGCAGCTTACATTGCACTGCTGATATCACATTTCCTGCTAAATTTGCTCTATTGAAAATAATGAGATGCTTGGTTCTCCCTGATGTAATTGGGAAAATTTGAAATATAAGTTTAAATAAACATTTGTATACTGTAGACTACCAATTATATCAGGAAAGGGCCTTGAAGATAGTCTCTTTTTCCAATGTTTCTGCTAAACTATTAGGCTAATAGGGCTTAGACTATCATTCTGTCCTTAGTTCCTCCTGTTTCTCTTCTGAGAACAAGAGCCTTGGAAGAAAAACTTCAGCATCAAGCATTCCTTAGAACAAACACATTTGTTTTTAGTGAGCCAAGACTGTAAAATATTGTTAACAATAGCTGTGAAAGCTGTTCTCATCCAAATCACAGCGTGAGGGAGTCTGGTGTGGATTGACAAGCAGTCATCATTGACCAGGACAAATAAAATTAGTACATGTACTGTCTGTAAACTCTTTAACAGTTGCATACCAGTTACATTTCTAAAATTAGCTGTCCTGCCACCTACTAAACAAATGTAGTGGTGTGTCTGTACATTAGTGATAAGAGATTAACTGAATTTGTAACTCTATCATTGACCGTGTAAAAAAAGTATGTGTAAAATTACAACAGAGAATCAGGACCTTTAAGCATATTACGAATTCATCTATCATTGGAATTCACCTAAACTTCTCTGAGCAAGCTAGTTATGTGCTAACTTGCTTTGTAGACAGATACTCATTTGATCAGGATACTGCTAGTAATATTTTTATTTGGAGGTTATTGTCCTCTTTAGCTTTAGTTAAGTCAACAACCCATGTTTGCCAGGCTAAACACCTGTAAAAACCATTGCTTTGTTTCTTGGAGAGCTCTGTTTAAGTTCCTGTGATCACGTAATCAAGAGTTAAATTAACATGGAAAATACAGCAGGGTTTGAAAGAGGAAGTTCTTGCTGATCAGGTATCATCTGTAGGTTTCAGTGTTCAGAACAGTAGCATGTTAGCAGGAAGTAGGTGATTCAAATTTTTTTTTTTTTTTAAAAAAATGAGTAAGAAAGATGCTGAAATGAGCTTCCTCTTAAATGAAAAAAAAAAAATATACAAAATTCTTCCTATTTACTTGCTATTGAAAAAAAAAGCTTGAATTATTTCACATAAGTTCATACTAATTTGATCTTTGGAGAAGAACTAAGACACTAACTCTCTGGGATTACATGGTATGCAGGGAAAGTGAGATTACTTCTCCATTCTCAAGGCTCTTTTTTTTTTTTTAAATATTGATATGTATTTAGTCTTTATACTATATAAAAAGTATACATTACATGGATGCCTTTCCTTTTTGGTAGGTGATTTTGATAAGTGAATCAGCAGATGCTCATATGTTTTCAGAGAGGAGTCTGGCTCTCGCTGCAGCTTCTCCTGGGTTAGAGGAGTGGGAGGCTGGTGACTTTTTTTTACTGTGAGGGTGACAGAGCACTGGAACAGGCTGGCCAGAGAGGTTGTGGAGTCTCCTTCACTGGAGACATTCAAAACCCGCCTGGACGCCTTCCTGTGTGATGTACTCTAGGTGGTCCTGCTCTGGCAGGGGGGTTGGACTGGATGATCTTTCGAGGTCCCTTCCAACCCCTATGATTCTATGATTCTATGACTTGGATGGTGCATCCATAGTGCTGAGTCTGCCTAGAAGGGATTTCTCTTTCTGCTTCATCTCAAACCTTCTGTAGTTAATTCCATCTTTACCTAATTCTCACAACTACTAGCCCAGTGCTTTTTTCTTGGGATCTATTGTGATTTGATTCCTTCATTTCTCTCCTTTACCTAAAGTGTAAAGGATTACTAGTAGTGCCCCTTCATTTCCATTTTTCTTCTTAGTTCATCCTGCAATGCATTTTTCTGTCCTGAGTTCTGTATCTTCCCAAAAGTGATGTATTAAAATAGCTTTACTGTTATGTACTTGGTGTGTGAAAGTTTGCTGTTTGTGTCTCAATCTGTAACAGGACAAACTCAACTATTGTTGTAAAGGTGCATATAACAGAGAAAATTAATAGCCTTTTCCTAGTATAAATGCCACAGTCAAACACTTAATAAAGCAGACTAACGTTAATTCCCTGACTTCATAACGCCGATACTAAAACTTTGTGTGAGTAATACCACTTCTGATAATTGAGCAGAAATAAGCTTTTCAAACAGATACTTTACTCCTTGTGAAGAAATATATAGGCATTTTATCTCTTTTTTTTTTTTTTTTTTTTTTTTCCCCCCTCCACTTTCACATTATTTCAAATAATTCAGGGAACTTTTCATCCTGCTTCTCTAGAATTTAACTTTTAATGTAAATGTAACATGACGATTTCTTGTGATAGTGGACACAAGTAGCAAAATGACATGCCAACTGCCTTGAAGGGTGTTATTTTCTGTACTTCTATTTAGCCAAGACAGCTTGACAGTTAAAAATCTAATCTTCTTTGACTTGTAGATTCAAGATGCTGCAAGTCAAGGCTTGAAATTTGTTGGAATTATACCTCAGTACCATTCCCAAAAGAACTGTCTTGTCAATGCCTCCCTGACACCCGCCAGTAACAACTCTGTGCCATCAAGAGATAATAAAAATGTTTCAAATTACCCTGAGGATCATGCTTCACTGGCTGGCGAGAAGAGAGATGGCATTAATGGATGCAGTACTCCAGCACCGAGTGAGGAGGGTGCTGACCAGTGTGCCACATCCAGGGAGTTCTGGGGAGGTGAAGGACAAGCTGCTGAAGAGCTGGATCTCAAGTCTGCGAAGGGAGATGAAGAGCAGTTTCACCATGCAAACCCCAGTGTAACAGAGGCCGCAGACAAAGCGAATGGACTTGCGGAGAACGAGACGCCAGCACGAGGCTTAAAACCGCTGACTGGTAGTAAGTAGTGCAGTGACCTCTCCTACAGGAAAGCTGAGTTGTAACTGTCTCAGTTACGTTCCCAGCTCCTTCGAGGGGTGGGAGTGCGGGGAGGACCTTACCACTGTAATAGTGAAGAAAAGATGCATCGAATGAGCCACTTCACCTCATTTCAGCGTGGTTACACAGTTTGCAACGACTGAGCGTAAGTCAGGTGGCAAATGAAGAGATGATGTAAGTGAGGGCAACTTTATGGCCCATTTGTATGCTCAAGTGGAAAGACATATTTTTGTCTGCTCTTCAGCTGTATTGGTTCATTTCTATATTTGCTGCAATACTCTGAGAGCTTTTGATCTTTTTATGCTTTTTGTCTATTTGAATAAAAAGCCCTGCTAAATGTGCCTAGCAACGGAAGGAATGTCACAAAGCCTTAGCACAGTTAGCCCCTTTGTAGCAGGTGAACAGATAGCTAAAATTAAACCTCATCAGGAAGAGCTGAAATACACATGATCTGGACTCTGAAGTCTCCTGGCACCTTACAGTCAGGCTGGGGTCAGAATATTAATTACTGGAAAGCAGGAGTTATTTTTCATAACGGCTCATATTCATAATCTGAATTTCAGTGGATCATGTTAATGATCTTTATTCATAACAGAGATCCTCTTGGTAATGGTGCTTGTAATAATTGACCTTCCAATTCTTATTTTGCATTAAGATTATTCTTCATATACCATTTTCTTTCTTTCATTTCTCTGATATATTTCTCCTTGGGTGTGCTTTCCACTTTTAAATGTCATTTTATGCCCTCAAAACACAAAAGTCTCAGCTGAGGTCTCAAAATACCCACTTTAAGGTGTTTGTTGCTCAGAGTTTAATTCAGTAGCAAGAACTGTAGTTTGAAATAAGGTGTAGACCAGAGTAATTCAGGAGACAATCAGAAAAAAAAAAAAAATCTTGCCCCATTTCCAGTTTAAACCTCAAAATATTTTTCTTTCCTGTATTTGCTTTGAATCCTAGAAAAGTGTGTACACACATTTCTCTCACCTCTTTGCTTGCTTTCCTTACACACTACAAGTCTATGTAAGGAAATTCCATCTGCATTCCTTTCAGCTGCAACTGGCCTTGACTTTAATATATCTCTATTCTTTGCATCTTACATAAATTCAGTCAAAGAGTTCTGCCCCTTTAGGGATTTTGTGTATAGGACCAAGAATGACTTCACATTGTACCCTCTTTGGACTATTGTCTTAGTTTTCATTGCATTTTACTGTAATTATCTTCTTGCTATCAGATTTGGATTACACTCTAGTAAACTTTCACCATAATTCCTTCAGTTTTTGTTGGGCAATGAAGCACTCAGATCTGCTGAAAGCATCGCTGCTATTTGAAAAATTTGTTCTGTTTTACACTAGAAAGTTGCACATTAGTCTTTAAGGTTTCTGAGCAATGTGAAGGCAATCACCTCCAGTCTTCTCAGCTTCTGTCTGTAACACCCCAGGATTGTGTAGCAGCTGCTGATTTACCAGATAAGAGGATTTATTTTAAAAAAGCATTTAGTTTCATTATTTGTGTTTCCTTTCTCTGAGAGCTTTCCAGCATTATTTATTTCTCATACTTTTTTGGTGGTGAGTTATGCAAATACTTTCCAGGACTGAAGGTCTGAGAAGGCACTTTTATGTGACAGCTCACCTAAAGTAGCATTTTCCAAGATCTATTGCCTGTACAACATTGCTGATTTCTTTATTACTCTTGTATGAATTTTTGTTATTACAGCACTCCCTTTTCCTCCCATGGAAAATGTATTTCAGTCCTTGGCACCAGTTCCCCATCCTTCCTTGGAACATGAAGATAGAAAGCATCAGGTGTTTGGTTTTTTTCCGGTTAGCCTACTTATTCCATAGGAAGTTACCAGTCTTGAACTCTTTATTTCCTAAGTAAAACTTAAAAAAAGAGTAGTATTTTTTACTTTTCGTGGAATCTTAATTTTGTTCTTTATTTTTGTTTTTTTACTACTCAAGTGTTATTTTCATACTTTATTTCTTTTCTGAATATTTTGTAGTCCTCATTCACTTTTCCTTTTATTAAGGGTCTCTTCAAAGCAGTGTTGAAAGCTATTTGCCTGTGAACAAGGCACAGATATTCCAGTGGTATGCTCAAAAGTGCTGTGTAGCCTAGAACCAAACTGAAGGTGTCCTTGTCCGTGCTTGGGCAGTCAGGCTAACTGGGGAAAACATGCCAGTACTGACTTGAGCAATGGTTAGGACTGGTGTGGTGTACACTCGGCCATGGTGACAAACCAAGTCACCTCTGAAATACTCCCACACAGTTTAAATGTACATTGTCAGCAGCCCAGTGTCAAATCCAAATCATGTCCTTATGGATTTTCAGTTCCATGATTTGTATTTCCATGTTAGTATAATGTTAATATGTACCAGGAAGGTCTCCGTTTCCAACATGAGTCTATTTTGGGAGACAGAACCAAAATGATTGTAAAAGTTTTCTGCGTGTGCTCCTCTGTGTTAGGATTATCATAATTTTGTGTGAGTTTGTTTTTTCTAAACAAGTGGTGAATAGCAGGAGGATACATATTAAGACTTTATTCCTTTTTACTCTGTTTGAATCATGGTTCATGTCTGAGATCATTAGGTCTCTTTTTCATGTTTGGTTATATCATAAGCTTCCTCCTCTCTTCTTCAAGTGCATCTCCCTTTAATATCTTTTTCAATTTACACGTTACCTATTGCTCGATGACATTTGATAGAGAGCAATCTTAACATTTCTCTTGACATTAATACTTGAGGTTAGACTATAATAACTTGGAAATAAGGGGAGCTTATTGAATGCATGATTTTCATATAATGTCTTTGCCTTTTATACTTATTTTGGAGGAATTTTTGGCATATAGAAAGTCGATAGGAATTTTTACCATTGATTTCTATGTCCATTAATAAGTAGGGTCCAAATAATGTCAGAATTTTTTTTTGTTGGTAGTTTTATTGATGGTTGTGCGAGAGATTCTGAGAATTTGGAAGGTACATCTGCACTTAAAGTTGCTTCCAGTTTAGGGCTGAGAAAGCTCTGCTTTGCCATCAACAGGGACTTTTTTGTGATGGTAAGCCTACATTAACTGCTCCTAGGATATACTAGAGGAGATATGGAGCGGAGTCTAGAAAGTGTTCTCATTTGTAAGGCCCTTCACAATTACACTTTCAAAATTCATTTGCTGTTGTGTTAATGTCTCACCTTGGCTCAGACCCAGAGTAAACCAACAAACTGTTTAGCATAGTCTCTACATTGATTCATTGAGTTTTCTTTAGATGAGTCTACTACTTGCTGGTTCCATGCCATGGTATTATCAAACCCAAGTTATTTAATGCTTTAGTTTAATAGCCATGAATGCAGTTCCTCTTTAATTTGCAGTAAGATTTTGTATTTGAACTGTCCTCAGTGTCACAGCTCTTTTAAGAATTCATTCAGTAGAAAAATAAGGGTACTCTGTGCATTAATATTTAGCAGTTTGTAGAGCATGTTTTCCTATCTTGATTTACACTGATAACACCAGTGGAATGCTTCTGCATTAGTACTCAGGTGTAACTATATTTAAACGTTTTTTTTTTTTTTTTTTTTTTTTATCAATAGCGAATCCATTAATAGTAACAAATACTGTAAGAGCAATCAAAATATTTTATTTGGTTTTGGGACCCTACTTTGTTCAACACTGCAAAAATGTATTTGCAAGATAACCACATCGCAGAGTACTTTTTGCAGTTGCATGGTGTAATCAGGCATGGGCAGACAGTGACTTACACGTTATTTTAGCTGAAATATTATGGTACAGTTGTTGCATTACTCTATTTTTTACTTTTTGGTAGAAACAGAGATCTTCGCTCTCTTCAACAAGCCAAAAAGCCCACAAAGATGCAGCCAGTACTATACAGTGACTATCCCTATGAGGATCTCCAGGAATGGGCAGACTGTCAGCAGCTTAGAAGCAAATTGGCTGGAGCACATGACAGATCACTTCAGGAAAGGAGGCTCATTGGTAAACGCCATCTTCAGCCTTGGGATGGTAAATGGTATGGAAATTACAGAAAGCATTATGCTGTGATTATTTTCCTTTCTTTTCTAATAGAGGTCATTATCTTTGAAGAGAAGATGTTTGGGAGGTGCTTTAATATAGGCTTGGGGCAGATTTGTTTTAGATCAGCCTGTTTCAATGAAATGGAATGAAAGCACAGGAAATATTTTGGCATTTGAGTAAGAAAAACAGATCATGTATTGTACTTTATAAACATACTAGAGATCATCTTGTAATTGCAGAAATATACAGAGTTCATAAACAGTACCAAGTAAAATGAATTAAACTAATAAGATTGTAAAGCAGATGACATAAATGGGAGAGTGGCTTTTCTCTTAGCTGTCTGGCCACACACCGTGCCTGGGTCTGATTGCAGGTCAGTGTAAGGACCCTCCAGTTTCTTCTGGCCAACATGGACCCAGTTACTCCCAGTTCTTGCAGAGACCTTTTCCACCTTCATGGCACTATGTCTTACAACATGGTCTTCTATGGCTTTTTTCAACCTGACTAGTGTGTTTTTATGGGTGGTGGGTAAATGTTGGTCTTATTTTAAGTAGAGAAGATTAAAAAACAGACTTTTGCACGTTGTGAACATGTGGCACAGACTGTAGCCAATTATACTTGTGGCCACCATGGCTTTGAAGACAAGCCTGCTGTAAAAAGAAAGACTTTGGTGCATAGTAGGAATCTGGGAGACATAACCAAGGGACCATGAGAAAAAAAACAAGGGAAGCACTTGAACATGAAAATGTTGACGTTACAGCCAAATTAATTTTACTGGAAAATTATATGACTAATATACTTCATGGTTGTGCGCTTATGGCTGAATCTTTCACCTAATTTTGGTTTGTTTTCCGTTCTTCAAAAAGAATGTGATAACCCATAGATTTGGCACTGCTTCTAAGATTATTGGACTTGTGTCTCAAAATTATGGGGGGACTGCTTCCAGAGCATCTTCTTCCCAGTTAGCTGTTGGTCAGAATTCCAGGACCCATGGTAAAACAAACAGTAAGATGAGTCAGTTCTGGTAAAAGTCAATCAGGAAATTAACAGGCAATCCTAATTTTTCATTTTGCAAGCAAGTAGCAAGAAAAGGAAGGTCTAAAGTTCAGCTAATGAAATGCTTTCACACAGCTTCCTGGAAAGCCTTGTAATTGCTAGTTAACTTGCTTAAAAAACAAATGGTCATTTACTTTATATGTATAAATTGCAGCTCATAGAGACAAACCTAATTTGCTCTATCAGACTCAGTGTTTTCTTTAATAAAAACTGCTTATCAGTGCACTCTAAAATGCTTTAAACACTGCATTTTTCTCTTATTTAAACTTCTAAAGTTCATTTACATAACAGAGGCCTAGAAGAAGTTCGTGTACTTGGATACCAGAGTGAGGAGTGCTGGATAACTGCCTGGGGACATAGATAAAGTAGCCTTTAATGATGACAGTAAAGTTTCAATGCAAACAGGACAATAAATTATGTAAAACTGGACAGATTCCGGCTTAAGTTAGATTAGAGATTGAAGATGAGCAATTAAAACATATTTTTATTAGTATATTACAGTTACAGGAGGAACATGTTTAGAAGTAAAAAAGGTCAGTTAAGGTTTCCAAAAGGGTATTAAATGCAACAGTTGTGGTAAAACACCATGAACATGCCTATGCTGTTAGAAGAACATTTGCTAAGAACATCTGTAAATTGGTATCAGTTGCAGTTAAATGTTTATGATTTAAATCCTAAAATTTTCCTATGCTGCAGCAAAGCAGAACAGCTTTTTCACTCGTAAGCCAACCAGTATGAAACAACCCAGGACAGAGGGGCCTGTAGGCTTCTCAGCTCCTTCTCGTCTTTCATGGCAGCCTATCCAGCTCTTCATAGCTGGTCTCCTTACTCACTGATTGATCCTCCTTTAAATGAAGGTAATATTAGCATAGTTTCTTTAATTGGTTATATCACATCTCTTTGTTCTGGGAGCTGTTTTTCTCGTTGGCTTGAAGTACAAATTCATTATTTTGCTTATTAGACTTAAAAGCAGAGTTATTATCATCTTCTTTTCCCCCTTGTCCTTGGAATACCCAATGAAGTGAAGATTTCCAGATTGTCAGTAGTCATAAATCTGTTTCTTCCTTCTGTCAACAATTTAATAATTAGTCTTTAGAGGAGTTTTAAAGTTCACTGATAACAATTGTTTCTTTTTGCTTATTGTAGCAGATAGTTATAAACAGAAATATAACACAATTGCAAATTACATTATGTAAACCATGCGGACTTAGACCATATATGAAATGTATTCAGATTTTGCTAGCAAGTTAGAAACAACAGCTTGCTTGGTCCTTGAATGTTCTTATGTTGACATATAACAATTATTTAGATTTGGAGTTCGGTTGCTTGCTGGTGTTTTTCCTCCAACTCATGTCATTGCTAATTCTGCCTGTACTCTCAAGTGTAAACTGATCCTGCCTAGTGACCTAGAGTGATCGTGACAATTCACCCTTGCCCTCTTCTAGTGAGAAGTGCAGTCTGTGGCAGCAAGCTACAGATTAATACCTTTGCAAACAGAAAGGATGTAACAGATGGGGTCTCCTTCACAGGTGAGGTGTTCTTCTTCTGTCTAACAGCAAGTCTTCAGTCAGTGTGAGAAGGGGGAAAGAATCAAAGCTAAGGTTATATTTTGATTGCTTAACAAAGTAATCACAAGCCTGCTCATCTTTAGTTGTTTTGAACTGTGGGTCTTTAAATGGCTGGCATTCTTGTGTTTGTTTTACCATTCTGTCTGTGAATTTCCTGCCTTTCAAATTTAGAGAAAGTCAGCCAGCCAACCAGAAAACATTGACAATGCTTCAGACAAAGAATGGAATAAAATGTAAGTTGCTTGGAAGAGGAAAGCAGTCAGGTTTTTAGAGGGTCAAGATGGCTTGTCTCTGTTATATTCGCACTGCCTCTGACAAAGATGAACCAGTGATGCATTTGGCCAGTTACAGTCACCTTATCCACTGGAGTGGCTGAGATTTTTATCATCCATATGGAATTATTTTCTCTGTGTGTATTGAAGGTGAAAATATTCAGGAGGAGGGAGGAATGTAAATATGAAGCAAAGGCCAACATTCAAGTCATGTGCCACATAAACCCACAGATAGCTAGTTTTCCTCATTGAGAGCAACAGCAGCCTAAAGGTTAGTTTCCTGAAAAAGGGAGATTTGTAGTTCAAAGACAACAAGGGGAAAATTGTGGCCCACTAGGAAAGCTGTCATGATAAAGTAAGAAATCCTTTCCCATATACTTCCTGTAAATCAGAAGCACGAACATCAAAATAGCTTTTTGTCAACTGAACTACATCAAATATTTATACAATCCAGTGAAAAAAGCTTTTTGTGCACAGTAGGATACCTTAATAAAAAATGCAGTGGTAATGGAACATTTTCAGAGGAAGGGCAGTGATTCTAACCTTTACATGTGGAGCCTTTTGTTTAAGAAAGACTGAAGTTCATCAGTTGAAGAGTAGAGATTGTGAAATGGTATCACAAACAACAAAGTCAGAATGGTTTGTTTTACTGGCATTCCTTACTGCCCTATTGCAAATGAACCAACATTTGGAATTACCAAAGATCTTTTTAATGTAGTCAAGTTCCAGGAGCTAAATCTTGTTAAACAGAAGATGACCAAAAGAGAATACAGCAGCACTGGATCAGGAAGTACCTTGCATGAGAAACAGTGGAAACTGAAAAGAGCAACTCGCCATCTAAAGCTTTAGATGTCTGGTCTTTGTAGGTAGGTTGAGTAAGATTCAGCTGATTAATGTAGGCGTCTGCCCTGCTGGTATCGTCACCCAAAAGTGGCATTATAATCAATGGAGATCTAGGCCTAGACCAATGCATATGACAGTTATAGTTGTGTTGTTATCCACCTCAGCCTACATAAGATATATAAAAGAGATCAGATAAATTGGAGTGGGTGATTTAGTGGCAAGCAGACCTAGATAACACTTTGATACTCAGTGCCTCCTCTGCCTTAGTCTTCACTGACGCAGTCTTCCAGGCCCCTGAGCTTAGAGGCAACGTTCAAGGAGGTGCAGTATTAGCAGCAGTGGATGATGATCAAGACCTGGATTGCTTGAGTTTCTGGGACAAAATGTTCTATGTCCAAGGGTCCTGGGAGAGCTGGCAGATATTGTAACAAGGCCACTTTTAGTCATCTTTTAAAGGTCATGGAGATAAGGGAGTTTTCCAACACTTACAAAAGGCAAAGGTTGCACCCATCTGTAAAAAAAAGACCAAAAGGACAATCTGGGGACCTACAGGTTGGTCAGCCTCACTTTGTTCCTGGGTAAATCATTGAGTAAGACCTCTTGGAACACATTTCTGGACACATGAAGCAGAAGAAGGTGATTTGGAACAGTCAGCAGGGATTTAACAGGAGTAAACCATATTTAACAAAACTGATTGTCTTGGAAATTAAATAAATAGATAAAATTACTTTGTGGATGAAAAGAAAGTAGTAGATGTCATTTTGGGTGAATTCATCAATGAAGTTTGACAGTGGCTTCCACAATATTTTTGTATCCAAGTTAGGATCCTGTAACCTAGATGGGAAGACAACTAGACATGTAAAAAAGGTGGTTGCATGGCTAGACTCACAGGGTCTTGGTTAATAGGTCACATTTTACCTGGAGTAACAAGTGGAGTACCACAGAGAACTATCTGGGGGACCTGTGGGGTTTAGCAACTTTATCAGTGATGCAGAGGAGGCAACAGGGCTTGCTTTTGTCAGATCTGTGGATGATCTCATACTCAGGGGTGCAGCTGATGTGCTTCAGAACTGGGCTGCTGTCCAGAGGGACCCGGACAGGCTGGAAGAACATGCCAGCAGGAGCCTTATGAAGTGCCATGAGGATGAATGTCCTGCCTCAAGGAAGGGAGGACTTTTTCACTAACCCAGGCTAGGGACTGCCTGGCTGGTTAGCAGCTCTGTTGAAAAAGTCCTGGGGAATGTTAGTAGCCAGGAAGCTGAAGATGAACCAGCAGTATGCCCTGGCAGTAAAGAAGGTAACAACATACCAGACTGTAACCTCAGGAATATAGCCAGTAGCTAGAAGACAGAGATTATCCTCCTCTACTTGGTGCTCAATAGGTTGCATCTGGACCCATACTGTGTCCAGTTTTGGGCCCTCCCCAAAAGGGGACAAGGAAGATGTTGACAAACTGATGCTAGTTTAGCAGAGGGCCAACAAGATGGTGGTTGGAGTACATGTCATGTGAGGAAAGACTGAATGAGCTGGGTTGGTTCAGCCTGGAGAAGGTACAGCTTTGGAGGACCTAGCGAGTGCCCGGCAGTGCCTAAGAGGAGATGAAGATGGATCCAGGGTCTTGACTGAGATGTACGATAGAAGAAGGAGAAAAAATGACACAATGTAAACTGACACAAGAGAGGTCCCGGTTGGTTAAAAAGAAAAGGTTTTTCGTCATGAAAACACTCATGCTCCGGAAGAGGCTGCCCACGAAGTTGTGGGATCGCCCAATTGGAGATTTTCAAGTTGTAATTAGATAAAGTCCTGAGCAATCTGGTCTGCACTTGCACTGAACCTAATCGGACTGGAGGCCTCTTGAGGTCCCTGTCTGCCTGGATTATTCTGTGATATCCTGAACGAAATAATGGTTCTCTCTCCATCAGTTGTAAAGAGAGCCCTGGATGGCTAGCCCGTGGAGGTAGACCTTTCTGTCATGAATATCTAATATGAGCTTATGTAAATCTCACCTGGTGGGCCAGCTCTAGAACATGTGACTGTTGACTTAAGTTGCTCTTAGAGCTAGAGAATCTGTAAAATAAAGGTGTTGCTGATAGACTTGGTGCATGTGTCCATCTCCTTGCCCTTCCACACCTCTGTGTAAGAGGTTCCCTGGAATTCTGCTGATCCTGACACCACAGGATCATGGATTATGTGTGTCTTTTCTCCAAAAATATGATCCTGTTTGCTCTCTTTCTGCGGCTTTCTCCTTTCCCCCAATTATTCTCAGCATCCCAAATGATTCCCTTGTGAAGGAATTGAGGATACAATTATGTTTTTTTACCTCTCCCTTTTCCATGGAGGAGTAGTAGATGATCTGTAAAAGGGAAGATGTATGGCCAAGGTTGGAGAACTGACAGACATGCATTCATGGCATGAAAGTCTAAACATTGTGGCACAACAGGTAGAGAGGAGGTTGGTTATGGGGGTCTTTGAGGCCAGGCTGGATGAGGCTCTGGGCAGCCTGATCTAGTGGGAGGTGTCCCTGCTCATGGCAGAGGGGTTGAAACTGGGTGATCCTTGTGGTCCCTTCCAACCCTGACAGATTCTGATCTGTTTTAGCAGAGGACTTAGTAGTGTTGGCTTGGTGGTTGGACTTGATGATCTTAAAGGTCTCTTCCAACCTAAAGGTTTCTATGATCATCAACCACTTTCTGTTACAGAGTTTTTCACCAGCATCACTCTGTTGAACAGATACCAGTATGCAGCAGCTCTCTCTCCCTCAGGGTTTTCCCCCTTTCAATTTTCTCATTTTCTGTAGGTTTCTTTCCTGGCCAAAAAATTTATGTATTTTAGGATTGACTGGATGTAGCATTCAACAGTAATCATTGTGCATCCAACAAGGAAGCAAAGTCACAGAATCATTTAGGTTGGAAAAGATGTTCAAGATGGTTGAGTTCAACCATAAACCTAACACTGCCAAGCTTATCTGCTGCCTGTAGGGTCTCACGAGCTCAGCTATTAGTCTAAAACATTACACATGTGCCATAATGTTCACATCTGTGGAAGGCGTGAAGCGCACGAGTGGAAGGTGAGGGAGGCTTTCTGAGGGAGTGTCAGCACAGGCCTGCTGATGGGGTTTTGATCACTTATTAATTAGCTGCCAAACACGTGGGGTGAGCTCAAGCTGCAGTTGTGCCAACACTGAGGCACTGAATTTTATGAAGAGAATTCACAATACAGGAACAGTACACCGAAGCTGTAGAAAGCTTCCTGGCAACAAGATCTGGATGTCTGTGTCTGGGAGGGTTCTATGGTTTTCTGCTTTCAGCCTTACATGCTGTCCTCTCACTGCTGCTTTGGAAAATTGAAGGGTTATTTGTACAGTACGCATCCTAAGATAGATTTGGGTATGGGTTTGGTTGTTGGAATATTTTATATTGCACAGAAGTTGAGCTGATTCCCACTTTGAAATGTAGGGTCTGAGAAAGTGCCATTTCTAAATAAAATACAATAATTAAGTCTTGTACTCATTTATATGTGGCAAGGTTGTTCTCCCTGTGTTTTCCAACCTGTAACCTAGCTACTTACTGAGCTGGTCTGTTATTTCACAATGAAAATGTCTGTTCTCTTCACTTGGATGAGATGTCTATCCAGATGACGGGAGTTACTGCTCTGTAGTCCAGCTCATCCTCCTTGGAGCAAAGTGCAATACTGGCTTGCTGTAGTGATGAGGAGTTTTTGTCTCTATTCTAAACGGAGTTACAGGAAACTTGCCTGGGGAGACAGTCAGTGTGAAAGCAGACAGTGTATTTTCTCCTTCTTTGAGTTTCCCAACAGAATCCCGAGGAAGGGCCCTAGTAAGTTGTTTACGACTTTTTTCCTTCACAACTGAACAAACAAACAAACAAACAAAAAACACCAAAAAAACACTGTGTTAGTTTAGATACAAGTATTTGCATCTGCTCACCTACAATGTAATGACTTGATGGAAACTGCAGCAGGAGAGTAGAGGACTGTGCATGTGGCAGCAAGGGGGTATGCCAATGCTTGACACCTGCAGCATCAGTCTTGCTGCAGTTTGTTTGTAGACATAAGCCTCCAACTGTAGGAGTCTGGTTTGTTGTGGGGAAAGCCCCCAACAGATTTGTTATTTCCAGACAATAAATTGCATTTAGATCATATAATGACATCGGAAGCTGCTGACTGTGAGTGTGTCTGCAAGAGGTAAGAAGCTTCTTAATCCTCTTCGCTACCTCCTTTGTGGAAATTGGTTCTGAGTTTCATACACATTCTCCCTTGTAGGCAGCAATGCCTTCCTACTGGCATTCCTTCATCTTGTAAGATCCACCACGGAAAGCAGGATGACCTGATGAAGCAGCTAAGCAGGCTTCTCCAGGAGTCTCTCCTGTCAGTGCAGGAATCTCAGTTTAGTGTGTGTGGTTGCATTTCAGAAACCTGTAACATACCAGTGCAAGGAACAGTCTTCCTTCAGATGTAAAGAAATTGTCGTGCCAAATACAATACTTGGGAAGGGGATCAGCAATGTCTTTATAATAAGTCACACAAGGCAAATGTATTATTTAAGTTAGGAAGGCTGAAAAACATGCTCTGTGACAATGTGAGAGTTTTCTGTGTTCATAAAGAGTACAGTACTGCTTATTTACAGATTTTGTAAATATAGTTCTATTGCTTCATCATTAAGCTTATTTTATCAGAGAAACACAGGTAGTTGTTTTTCTTTTTTTTTTCAGTTATTCTGTTTCTGTTCTGTCATAGAGCTGATAAAACTTGAGCTCTTGCATATGGGAGTGATTGCTGATTATGGAGTGTACGGCTAAGCTGGGGGAGAAGGTGCTGCTCAAGTAACTTTAATAGTATGTGTTGTCTGAAAAAAGGCTGAACGTGCTGGGAATACAAGTGAGTGTAGTGAGCCACTAAGCCAGATGGTCAGAATGCCTTCATAAATTGATTAAATTGTTATGAATGCATCTTTTCTGTCACACCGTTCAGATGCGCCAGATCATCCTTGGTCCATGTGGATGGATCACTGTGACTGCCACGTCTGATCCATGTATAGGATTCTAAACTTGTGTGGCTGAATGAGTATAGTCATTAATATCAGTGTACCTTCAAAAGCCCTTGAAAACCTGACATAATACAGTCCTCAGCCCCAAAAGAGTGTGTATAACTTCAAGTAGGTGAGCACTACTGAGGACTTAATTTGGCCTACTCAGAGGGGAGTGCTGGTTTTTTTAGGGGACATTCTCTGGAATAACAGAGTGGACAGTGAGGTTTGCTATTAGAGAGTAAGACTGCTCTTAAAAACTGCTAGAGATATTAGTGTCATGCATTTAATAAGCTGGACTATCAGAAGAAGGTCTATGCACTTTTTTGTTAATGTCCTTGGAAGAATTTGTTATTAATAAATTCAAGTGCCTCCCTATGCATGGAGTGCCTTCCATAAAGCTCACAGGCAATGTGTTTTCACAGATTCTTTACATGGGACAATGGATGGAGTATTTCTCTTTGAAGATGTTGCTGTGGAAGATGGTAAAACCATGCATGGCTATGATGCAATTGTTGTAGAGCAGTGGACCGTCCTGAAGGTATGTGTGCAGTTTTTCTGCTTTGATTGATTTTATTTTTAAATCTAAACACTCCAAGGCTGCAAGGCAAGACTGTGACGTCCTGATCTGCACTTCAGCAGTACCTGGCAGGCCACTGAGGTGAAGGGTGCAGCATACCCGTAATGCTGGGTAACCACACTCCAGCTTCCTAGGATCTGCCTTTGATTTTGGTAATCTCTGGGCTTTCTTGGGGGGGTAGGAAATGTGAGTGGTGGTGAGCAATGAAACTTGGGGCTCTGTCCAAAAATACAGATGTCTGCTGGATTAACTATGAAGAGAATCTCCATTAGTTGTCAGGGCAACATGATCATACAAGTCACTGTAGCATGAAGAAGGAGGCCTTTTAGGTAGGCTTAGATGTAGTAGGATTGCACAGATAACTGCATTTGCTTCTGTCTGACCTCCTTCATATGCTGAAAGAACTATGTGTGCTGGATAGGTCCCTATAAACAAACCACATGTCATTGGTTGGGTTTTTACTGATCCCAGTGCACACTCAGGTCAGTAGAAGCACTATTTAGATCAGATCAGTCAGTACCCATCTTCCACTGTTTTGATACAGACAGGTATTTGAAAAGCTGGGCTTATAATTCTTTATGATGTGAAGCAAAAAGATCACAGGGGGAAGAGATACCGTTGTGTATCTGTTAGGGGACTTTTTGTTGTTTATTTGATAATTATAGTCTGCCAGAAATAGATGTTACATATCTGCAAAGGCAGTGCCTGACCTTTTTGCTTGGAGTATTTTGTAAATGGTACAAAATCCTAAAACAGACAAGCAAGGCACACATATGCCAAAAGGATGGATTAAGGGAAAATAGGACAGATACCAGATTAAATGTGTAGAGTTCCAGGAGGCTAGAGTTAAGAGTTTGGTTATTATGTGATGACTTTGTAGTGTAACAAGAAATGGCTATATAATAATGGCTAGAGCTTTTCTTGTGATAATGTGCATCTGAACAAATTATTCTTATATTACATTTACTGTTATTCCAGTTGTCACAGACTTGACTGTAAGTTCATGTTGATTTTTAGGCTGAAGTGGTGGTGTTGCCACTCAGGAGCAAGGTTTTGGGATAATGACAGATGTTTCCTTGAGTGCATTAGGTCAGTGCTGATCAAGAAGGCAAAGTTAAGAAGCTTTAATGTTAACCATATGTTAAAAACTGTTAGGGAAAGAAAAGAGGGTGAAACAGCAAGTATATACTACTATACCTTATTTCAGAAGGTTATGTTAGCACTGTAAGTGTTCAGATAAGAGCAGTGAGGAAGACCCATGATACAGACAGTTTCAATATTAGAAGACTTTACATGATGTGTCCTGTCGGCCTGGAAAAGAGTTGCAGATAATGGAATAGGTCGAGGTCTCCTAAATCATGGGAGGTATGTCAGTAGGGACTGACTGTTTGCCATCTCTTCCAGTATAAGAGCTAAGGGTTGTCAAATGGCACTAGTTGGGACCAGGTGCAAAACAAACAAGAAGGAGAGAATTCAGGTGATTGTTTAAGCAGCAGGCAGCAGATCTGTGGAGCTCCTTTCTGGAGAATGCTGTGAGTTCAAGAAGTTCAGATGGGTTCATGTGGAAGCAATATTTTTTTTTCCTTTCCCTTATCTATTTCTGTGTTGGTACAAGCATTTCAGTTCAGATCAGAGTGCATTTTTTAGTTGAACCCTCTGATCGTCTCCACTGAATATGCCTCACCTCACATCACAGGATGGTCTCATATTGCACAAACTGGATTCCTTTCAGTAGAAACTAAACCAGATGTACTGAAAGGAAGTACACTAAATATTTGGGGCAGACATCCTACATGGGGTTTGGCACACCTCTAGCAGAGAACGTGCTGCCTTTTTAATTGCTAAGGCTAACAGAGAAAACAAACTGAACAGTGTGATGCAGTCCCCACGTGTGTGAAATGTCAGCTTGCACAGGATGCTTGCCCTGATATATATTACTCTTCCTTAGATGTCACTTACAGCCATGTTGGAGACAGCTTTCTGAGTTAAGTGGATTATTGGTCTCAACCAGTTTTGCTCTTGGACAATCAGTGAAAGGTTCTCTCCCTCAGCAGGATATTGCAACAAGGTTATGCATAATGACCCAAACACATCTCTTAGCTTGTTCTGTGTAGACAGAAGAAAGTTTGTCTCAAGCTACATGACAAGGACAGCATCTGACAAGGGGGATCCTGTGGTGGCAGAGTGGTGACCAAAACACTAGGATACAGCAGAAGACTATCTCCTAGCAGGGACCTGTGAAGTGTTAGAGCCTTGGTAGGTAGGATATCATTTGCCTTCAATTCTAGCAGTTACATCCTGGAGGCACAACTGGCCAACAGATTAAAGAATCGACATCCCAGTGCCATCTGTTGTGTCACGAGATGCTGTACTGCTGCACACCATGTCTGTGTGATGGCTAACGTGGAGAATCTCTTGTTCCAGACATAAGGTTTGGTATACACAGATTGTCAGTATGATCAGATTATTCTCTGATGTAATTTAAAATTTGGATGCTGGCTGTTCTCTGGCAATTTTGCTCTTCTTAGATCAAAGGCCTCTTTGTTGGGGACATTGTAAATGTGTTACCCACTAACCTCAAAGTGGAAGAATATGGAGAAGAAAAAGCATGCTGAAGGGAAGAAGTTGAGGCATTGGAGAACTCTTGCAAAGGTCGTACCCATTTAGAGGAAGAGCAGAGCTGACCACCTCTGTTTTCTGCTGACATTTAAATGACTGCCTGGATATTTCATGCTTCGTGCTTTCTGAGACATAGTAGGCATAGGTAGGTCAAGTCATCCAATGAATGAAGATTGGAAGCTGAGGGATTTGTAGGCACTTGCCTGTTGTAACCAGAAGACCAAGTCACCTCTCTGTTAAACTCTGTTGGAATTCACCTTTATTTGCCTTAAATGTGAAGTAATGCAGTGCAGAGGAGGGGACTGTAAAATGGGGGACAGAGGGAAGAAGACAAAGTTCAGTAGTGACAGAAGATGTCCAAAAGCCAGTAAAGTCTGTTTCTGTCATGAGTACTTCAAAGTACAGTTATCGCAGAGATAATTATGGAGCAGTGGAATGACTCATTGACATAGACATTTTTATTTTTTTGGTCTAGGTTCTATCTAGGTGAATCTGATCTTTTCCATTTGCCATTTTTATTTGTACCAAGGCAGTGGAAGAAGCCCTGATGGGCAGCCTGACACAAGTGTGTGTAGTGGATCCTTAGTTTAGATTTGTATCAGATTTGATTATCTGGGTGAGCTGTGAACTTGTTCAGATGTGGACTGAACTGAATGTAAATTTATTGTGCTATATCCCAATTATGAAGAGGAAACAAAAGAATCCAAGCCACAACAAAAGAAAGCTGTTTTAAAAGGAAGACATGTAGCATGTATTGATGCCCTTAGTTATAAAGAGAGAACCTTTGTAAATGAAAAGCTGGAGTTCTGCTGCTTAAGCATAAAGGCAGAAGAGGGGTTTGGCACACCTCTAGCAGAGAACGTGCTGCCTTTTTAATTGCTAAGGCTAATAGAGAAAACAAGCTGAACAGTGTGATGCAGTCCCCACGTGTGTGAAATGTCAGCTTGCAGAGGATGCAAAGCTGGCAGCTGTCGCTGTATGTGGTCCCGCCAAGCAGCAGACAGGATGTGAGAGCTCTGAGTCATTTAACTCTTTCTGCTCAAAGCAGAGCTGTGCCATCCTCTGCGAATGACCACAGGACTTCTGATGACAAAATGCTGCTCTTATCCGCATGACTTTAACTCTAAAAATGTCAGGGCGTATTATTTCCACCGCAGTCTCTGAGATGGAGCCCGAGAACTTGTTTGATGGCTTTAATTCTGCTCGTGTAGGCAAATGTGGGTGGACAGTTCCGATTAATCGGAGCCTGCAGGGTTTCCCTGACCCAGCGGCTGTGTGGCGTTCAGTTGCTGGCTGGGGTTAAACTACAACACTCCATAACTCTCATCTGTCACTTTCTCCCCATTACCCAAGACAAAATAGCTAATACCACCTTTAAAATCAGGTGCTATGACATTTCTTTTGAATTTCTGCATCGTTCTGCTTCTGAAGCCTTGTTCATTTTGAAAATCCTGTCCTTAATTTACAGGTACTTTCTCACTGAAGATCTTCAGCTGGTGGTTTATCACTTTTATATTATCTGCTGTACTGTATCTTTGGTGTACTGACATGAATTCAAATCTCAAATACACCATGGTGTTGCCATTTCCCTGGCAGAATTGAATGGGGTCAGCGTCCGCTGCAGACATGGTAAACCTTTTAAAGTGCAACATAACAAAAGATTAAAAAAATTATCTGCTGAGCCTAGGTTGCAAGTTGCCTTAATGTAAGCTTTGAAGCAAATTCTCTGGAAATGAGGCTTTGCTTTGTCTGTAAATCTGATTTAGGTCATATGTCAGTTAAGCTATGTTCTGCTTTCTCTGGCCATGGGAGAAAGGCATGACCAGGTCAGCAGAGGAGCTGATGGCGATGGGCACGAAAAGCAGTGGTGTGTGTGACACCCTACCACCCAAAGGACAGAGCCATTGCCTGGGCATATTTCAGCATTATGCCCCATGTTGCCTTTTAAGAAAAGCTGAACAAAACCCATTCAGGATCCTGATTTTCAAAGATTTTTTTAATTCTTGTTTCAGTCTTCTATTTAAGACTTGAAAGCAGCATGTATAGCTATATATGTGTCTACTGAACTCAGCTGACAAATGCTCTATACAGGATTAACTTCCACAGGCTAATCTTTCTTTGGGTTTGTTGGTAAAATTAGTAGTCTAGCAGTACAAACTTGGAACTTCCCTGATACTTTCTTGTGGCACAGGCAGTATTGAACATCTAACAAAGCAAATGCTTCTTCCACGTGAGTTAAAGGCACTTGAAGTAAACAGGCAGAAAAGGTTTAAAACAGTATGACTAAAACAATGACTTCCTATCTGTGATGGTTTGCTTAGGTTTGTGAGTTCTCTGCTCAC